CCGAAAGGAGAAGCGGCAATGGGAGATGAAGATGAAACAAAAACAACTTCCGTTTTGGACTTATGCCATAAAATCTGATTGGAATTCGAAATTTTAAAATACGGTCAATGAAAAACTAGTAATTTTGAATTCGAAAATAATTGACCATGTACTCGTAAATATGAATACATGTGATTCTGAATATTCCCAGATAAGGTTTATAAGAAATGATGTTCGTAAAATTGTTAGATGTCTTCAGTTTCTATTATCTAGTGTCCATTGGGTATAATATAGATTTATGTAGTCGCGACGCGGCAATGCAGATGGTACTTGCTACGATAGGGGGAGGTCGCTTCTGTCTACGTTGTGGACTTTGACCTGAACTTGAATTCATTTGCATTTCGTGGGCAAGTTGCATATCTCCCTCAAAACCGAATGCCTTCCCGGCAGTTCCGTGTATACAAAGAATTGAATTGTTTATATTTTTATGTTCGATCCTGCAGCCACATAGCTAGTAGCAGTGATAACGTTGTTTCTATTGCTTACTTTATCACAGAAATGGAATTGGATTAGTATTGTTTTAAGATAACGGTAATCTATTTTTATCTGAGTGAAAGTTTCATTTCGAATTGGCGACGTTTCACTGTATGTGGCAGTCACTTGGAATACGGCTTCGAACCCCGCTGTATTTAAAGTTAACAGACAATTAGCGTTAACTTTCCTTGGTTTCCTGTACAAGGTTTCAGTAGCGATTATTATTCCAGTATAGTCCGTTATTGCAATGGATCAATGTAAGCGAGGAAGAACAATCTAATCTGCAATCCGTCTTCGGTGGTGGTGGTGTAATCACTGGTTAAAATGGTTAATATCGAACTGTTTGGTTTGAGTTCATCATTCACGCTGTGGTTGAGGATACTTGCTCCTACGTCAGACAGCTCAGGCATATTATGGGATCTATTGAGTTTTTTGTTGTTGTTCATACGGAGTTTTTTACTTGCATGCAAGTAAGCATTTTCTGTGGCTCTATCGATCGCCTTCAATAGGTCTTACGTCGTCGACGAATATGGAACCGGGATTGGAAGACGTATCCCACATCTGACGAGGCGTGATCGTCCGTAACGTTTGCTGAGCGATAGATGAGCGATTAAAGGCTGCCACTGTCTTGTTTATATAACATGCATATGCTTCATTTTGTCGCAGAGCGAATCACGCGAACCGTGAGTTACTTTTTTCTAGGTCATCGATACAAGCAGGGTTGATGTGAAACGATTCTTGAGACTAATTTCAATTCTTCGCAGTCTTTTTCAATAAACAACTTGCATTACCATAGTTTTAGACGATGAAATGGGATAGTCATTGTTTCAGCCAAACTTCATTGGCAGCTCTCAGGGCAGACAAGTTGACGGCGGGTTGTCGACAGTACCGTCTGTCTGTCCGTCTGTTTTGTTGTGTTTCGAAGTACTGAAGCGAAATCTTAATCTTACTGATCAGAAATATTTATATGGTTGGAGATGTGCGACTAGTCGATGGCAGTCGTCGTTCGTTCTCTGAGACGGTTTCACACAGAGCTTCACGGATGATTGATTTGTAATATTGAAAACGTTGTCTCGCCGGGTTCCGACACGTTTCTGATTGTTCTTTATCCACCTGTGTGAAACTTTTCCCATTTATTTCCTTATTTGCAAGAACCTTGTCTTTACAATTATTCAAAAGTTTGTTTTCTAGCTGTTGACCAGTTGACCGTTTCGTCGGATGCCAGCAATCCGTCAAAAACCACGGCAGAAATTGAATCGGTGGTCCGCGATAGCCTGTTGTCGTGCACTTCGGCCCGCAACGCGGAAATAGTGCTGACCGACGAGCAATGCGACCGCGCTGACTGCGTGCTACTTCATATTACGGTAGGTGGTTACTAACCATTTGCACTTAATCCGTATTGTAAGTAAAACGACGACGTTGATCGTCATGACTTTTTTCCTTCACTCAAGCTTCAAGGCATCGGGGCAGCGCGACGACGCTAAATTACTTTTAATTACCTTATTCACCAGTGCGTTTCGACACCACATGGCGGCATCATGATTCATTGACATTTTATTTACTCCTCGAAACTGAGTAAAAACAAACAAATGCATTGTTGTTGATGCCATTGGCCACGAGTCAGTGAAGAAAGATGAATCATTGCTTCTGAAACAACAAATCCGCATTTCATTCTGTACTTACTTGAATTTTCGATGTGGCATAAATTTTTCTCAGTCGGAAATCTTCGCCCGTCGTCGATCACCGTCTCGTTGCCTGTTGGCTAGACCGTTCTCTGTCACTGTGTGCGAAACTCACAAGTCGACTTTCTTTTTACAGTAAAAATAGTGACACCGGACCGAAACGGCGAATGCACAGTGTAAAGAAAGAAAAATCAGTTTCTCACTTTACGCTAGCGACTCAGTTGCATCATCCCCTTGCTTCTAGACGTTTAGGGGGACGTGGAACCGTTTAAGCAGGCCACGGCTCCATGGTATTTAAGCGCCTGCAGTGCATAGAATGCACGACTCCGTCTCAAATATGTGTTGAGCAAAACTGTGTCACGATCAGTAGGAGTAATAGTGATAAAATGAAACCGTGATGTTCTGAGGGAGCTATCGATGTCGCTACAATATCGATGGTTCCATTTTGTCGACTTCGTTTCTTGTCACGTTTCTGTTTCACAGAGAAGATGGAATGTTCTCGCCTGAAACGGTAATGTTGCTTCTGGTGACACGTGTCCTGTTGTCTGGTCATTTTCCAATTCATTATCCACTGTTCGTTTTCATTCGCGGCGGCAAAACAGCACCAAGAAATTTCTCCAGTTTGTCAAGTGCCGGTAGTACTATGCTCTCTGGGTTGGATTCCATGGTTACAGTTCCACGTATTCAGTTAAATATACGTGAATCATATGGTTTCCGATCGTCCTCTTGGTCGCCTACCGTGTGCGTTTAAGATGATGTTTTTTCTCTGTGGCTCTTTCCTTCAGCATCTTCATTACATAAATGAACCATCGCACCAATTTTCGACATCTCTACGTAACGCTGTTGTGCTGTTGTTGAGGATTACAGTAGTAATACAGATCTAATTATGCTTTAATATCGATGGCCAAATTGTCAAGTTAAGATTGTCGTTTTGGAAAACATTTCAAATTCTAGAAAGACGATGCAACGAAGACCAGCGCTGCTAACGGCGTCGTCTGCGACAACGGTCGACAAGACAATGGCGATAAAGTTTTTAGCACGATGACGACCACTCTCGAATCTTCGCAGAATCTGAGAGGTAATCACTCATCTTTACTGCTTATAACCTTACTATAAACGAACAGTGTTCAGTACGAAACAAGACCGATATTTGTATACATTAATAGTTAAAAGACGTTGGATAGTGTTATGAATCTTGTACTGACAGTGATAACGTTTTCGGAA